AATTGAGATGTGCTGTGTGCATGCACCAACTCCCCACTAGGAGAAAAATTATCATGTAATGAAAACATGTACTGGCTGGGCACGGTGGCGCACACAGCCTGTAATTCCCATACTCAGGAGGCTGAGGCAGGAGGATTGCTATGAATTTGAGGCCAGCCTGGGCTACACAGTGAGACTTTTTGTTGGGGGGGGCATTTATGTTTTTGGTACAGGGATTCACTGTGCAGCTCAGACTCATAGTGATCCTCCTGTTTTCAGCCTCCCTAGCGCTGGGATTACAGGTGTGTCCCACCATGCCTGGCCTCTACATAATGATTTTGAGGCCAACCTGACCTATACAGTAAGATCCTGTCTCGAAAAGAAAACAAAACATAATATACAAAAAAAAAAAAAAAAAAACTAAGAGTGGGGAAAAAAATGGCCAGCACCAGGAGAAAGCAACCAGAAAACAGAAGTAAAGGTGTGGACAAAGGACCACTCTTACATACTGTTGGTGGGAATGAAGATCTGTAAAGCTGTTGTGGAAACTAGTAGTTTCAAGCTATTCCTCTAAAAAATAAAAACAAAAACAAAACTGCTGTATGAATCAGCAACCCCACTACTGAGTACATATCCAAAGGAACTGAAATCAGAAATAACTGTGTTCTCGTGTTAGCCGCAGGGCTGGTCACAGAAGCCGAGACAGAGGACCCGTGTGTCCACAGACAGATGAATGGAGAAGTACATTGGGGGCTTATACACTGCAGAGTACTATATAGCCACCAAAAGTTAATGAAAAAGCCAGCCAGATAGCTCAGCGGATTACAGCACCTGCTTGGGCAGACGCAGGGGCCAGGTGTCCCTGGGGTGTGCTGAGACAGTGATTGAGACAGGGCATGGCAGCACAAGCCTATAATCCCAGCACTTGGGAGGCTGTAAACAGGAGGGTCACTTCAAGACCGATCTATATAGTAAGACCCTATAGCCCCTGTACTAAATCAAAAATTTTTTAAAATGACAATGAAAGCCTATCCTCTGCAGCCACAGGGGTGGAGCTGAAGGACACCCAGTACTCCCCGTTCTCACTCACGGATGGAAGCTTAAGAAGGGGGTCTTGACTGTATGGGCAACTTGCCCAACTACAGGGAGTCTGTAGTTCCAACTACTTGGGAGGCTGAGGCAGGAGGATAACTTGAGCCCAGGATTTTGAGATCAACCTGGGCAATAAAGATAGACCCCATCTTAAAAAAGTCATAGAAGCGCAGAATAGAACAGCAGTTCTGAGCAGCTGGGAAGAGGAGGGGAAGGAAGGATGAAGAGTAGTTAACAAGATTAACTGGCAAGGGGCTGGGGAGATAGCTTAGCCATCTAAGTGCCTGCCTGGCAAGCGCAAGGACCCGGGTTCGAGCCCCTGTACTGCATGTCATGCACCCCATAACCCTGGGCGCATTGTGCTGGTCATCAAAACCAGGCGTGGTAGTGCACACCTGTAATCCTAACACTGGGGAGGCTGAAACAGGAAGATCACTATGAGTCTGGATTGTGTAGCCAGACCCTGTAGCACATAAATAAAGATGTTTAAAAATTAAAAGATTAGTTGGCCAAAGGAGTAAGCTCTGGTGTTCTATAGTAGGGATAACTATCATTTACTGTGGTTTTTTCTTTCCTTTCTTTCTACATTTCTTTCTTTTTTGTACCTGGAATCGAACTCAGGACCTTGCACTTGCCAGGCAGGCACTTGTGCTGCTATATCCCCAACTACTGTGTATTTTAAATAACTAGAAAGGACGGGCTGGTGAGATAGCTCAGCAGTCTACAGCACCTGCGTAGGCCAGCGTAGGCAGGCGCAGGGTAGCACGGTTCCATCTCCAGCACCACATGCCACACCAGTTCCGCCCTCAGAGAGGGCCGAGCCAGCAAAAATAAATAAATAAAAATGTAAAAATATAAAACACAAAAAAGGGATAATTTTGAACATTTCCAACACAAAGAGTCCATAAAAGTTTAAAGGGACAGCCATGCTAAACACCCTGGTAGTCATTTCACATTGGATACAGGCGTCACCTGGTCACACCACGCCCCATAAATCTGTGCGAGTACTGCCTCAGGTAACAGACTAGGGATACAGCACGCACCCGCCATGCAGGAAGGAGGACAGGGTTCCGTTCCTAGCGCCACAGGAAGTACACGAAAATCAAAACTCTACTTCTTACTGTTACTAAAATTCAATCTGCCCTCCATAGTTCAAAAGTCCTTCCATGCTTTACTGTAAAGATGTAGAGCAGAAAGGTGTCTATTTTTAAAATCCATTTGAGTCCCTCTTAAAAGTGTTTTACCCTCTCTGGAAATCCGAAGCAGCGTCTCCAGCCTCCAGCCCTCCTGCTCCGCGGTTACTAAGGAGACAGCCAGAGGTAGACTGCATCCTGGCGGCTGCACCTGGAAGGAGGCGCCCTTCGCCCTGAGAGGGGAACCCCGGCGGCAGCCTCGTGGTGGAATCAGCAGAGTCCCAGGTGGGCACCCAGCTCGAAGCCCCCTCCCTTAACTGCCCCTTTGATGAGGAGCTGGCTGGATCTGGCTCCGCCCTCACCTGGGGGAATCTAAGTCTTGCAGCCCCCTGGCGGGAGTGAATGTCCGACCCTCCGCAGCAGGAGATATAAGGTCTCGTCCTCCATCACTGGTTTTCTCATGAAGGCATCTGGCAATTGGAGCAGCAGAGCTCACCACCCCAGAAGAAAGCCTGGGTCCCCTGAAGCCTCACGCTGCAGCAGGGTGCCCCGGGGAGGCGCCCACACCATTGCACGCCACCCCCACCGGTCTCTGCTCTCCACCCGGCTTGGGCCTGCAGCTGCAGCTGCCCCCGAAGAGCGTCCAGGCCACTCAGCTCAGTGCCTCCCATAGAACCTGGGAAAGAAAGGCTCAGAGAAGCCTCCAGACTTTCCTCCAGTTCTTTCTGCCCTTTGAGTTGCTCAAGAAGAGAAGCGCTCAGCTACCAGAAAATTCTAGGAATAGCCAGGGTCGAGGGGGCATCTGCACACCAATGTAAGAAAATCCATATGCTCAGCTAAAACAAAGCAGGGAGGGGTGAGTCTGCTGAAGGCTCCAGTGAGGCCTCTGCATTATGCAATTCTGTAGTCCCCACCCAACCTGGCCGGCGGCAAGTACAACGGTGGCAACAGAGTGCCTGCCCCACCCCAAGAGTACAGCTGGTTCTATAGCAACATGTAGTGGAATCCTACAGATATCTGAAATAAGGGCTAGGGTTTTTGTTTTTGTTTAAGTTAGGAAAATAAAAATGTTGCAAACCCAGGATTGCTAAAGTAGCATCCTAGTCATGGGGGACCTGGAATTTCCATTTTTATATTCCACTCTCTTTAGCAATGGCTTTCATCTTCATAGCTGGCTCATGATCCAAATAGCTGCTAGAGCTCCAGCCATCACATTTGTATTCCACGAAGGCAGCAACAAAAGAGGCTTCTTTTAGCTGAGTTGGCTCCCCTTAAAAGGGCTTTTCTAGGAGACCCACCTAAGACTAGTAACTGAGTCTCATTGGCTACTTTGAGTTATGCAGGACTTTTAGGTGAGCACCTTGCCCCCTAGAATAGAATCAAGAGAAGAATAGGAAACCCGGGGTTGGGTAGGTGACCAGCAAAGCCTGCCTCAGCCTGTGGGCAACCAGGTTCTGCATACATCAGGGCACAAAACTGCCTCTGCGGCCTGCAGCGAATGTTCCAGGTATTCGGACCAGCAGCAGCTGAGAGCAAAGTCTCACTGAGCAGGCACCCGGCCCCTCCACTGTGAGCACAGCTGGGACGGAGCTCATCCTCGGAACTCGCTCGCACCAGGGCCGAGTTCTCCGTTCACCTGCTTCCCTTGATTGCTGTTCCCATCACACACCATCCACCACTTGAAGGCCTGGCTCGGCGGAGTTCAGTGCCCACTGCAGACCACTTCCATGGTGCAGGAAAGAAACAACCCAGTTAGGCTCAGGCCACAGGTGGGCCTCAGCCCTCCACCCAGCCGCAGGACCACCATAGAACTGCGTTTGCCACTTGCATGTGTGTTTGTGTTCCTGACAGCTCCAAGTAGGGGCTATGGGATGCTTCTTATGCTCTTGGCAAAGCCAGGGCCACGGCCTTGGCTCGGTGGCATGGGAGAGGCCAGGGGTCTCCTGGGACACTCTACGCAGCCACAGGGCCGCCCTGAGCTGCAGGGCGAAGGCAAGGCGCAGGGCCTGGTGAGGGCCAGATCGTCCTCTACAGAGCCCCAGCCTCCTGCCCTGGAGCAGGCAGAGGCTGACACAGGCTCACTGTGTGCCAAGGGGCAGGGAGCGGGGGACTCAGCACTTAGCAAGTTAATAACAGGTCTCCCTGCTCTGCTCCCAGGGTCCTAGGGCTGGGGACCCATTTCTCAGAGGAAGACCTGAGGTTCATAAGGAGCAGTCAGCAGCTCTGACGGGGCACCCAGAATCCCCCCACCGTGCAGAGGGCACCTGTGGACACGGATCCTCATGGGCCCTCGGCAAGTGCAGCCACCCCTCTGTGACCTGGCCCTGGCCGTCTGTGGGCTGGGACTCCAGGACGGCTTGATCGAGCTCAACCCTGAGCTTTGGGAGCCGGTGGGAGCCTGGCACAAACGGCCCCTCCTGCCTGCTGCTCGCCCTCCCCTCCTCAGGCAAAAGGTTGGTCCAGGAGCCTCCAGGATTTGGGGTCTGTCTGGCCACGGCGCCAGGAGCCCTTTTGCTGAACGTCTTTGCAGAGTTCCCGGCAGAGCTCTCAGAGCCTCGGAAGCAGCAGGGAGGAAGCCACGGGATCCTGACTGCACTGAGCCCAGGTGAAGCAGGCAGGAGACTGGACGGATGGGGAGGGTGGCGTGTCACAGGCCTGGTGGCAGAGCCAGCAGGAGGGGGGCCGCCTGCCAGGGCTGGAGGTGCTGCCGTTTGGGGGCTGGAGGGGGTCAGCTGCGCGTGTGTCATCGAGGTGGGAGACTACAAAGGAAGGGGAGGGCTGTGCGTGGGGAGGCTATATATGCTGGCGTGGCCGCCACGGAGGGACCGAACCTCGCCTCCCAGGCAGCCGGCGACGGACAGCCAGCGCCCAGGTAGGAGCCGCTGCGACCCGCCGCGACTAACTGCCTGCTGCCCGCCGGGGAGACCAGGGCAGCCGGGCTGGCCTCCCCGCCCCTGTCCTTTGTCCAGCCCGCCCGCTGCTGGCCTCTCGTGAGATGATTCCTTCATTCATCTTACTTTCACTGCTCGGGTGGTGGGGAGGGGGGAGGGGGGGTGTTTTGTTCGGGTTTTTTGTTTGGTTTGGTGTTTTGTTTTGTTGTTTTTTTTTCAGTCTCAGATTCAGAAGGAAACCGAGAAAACTGAACTTGGAAAAGAGGAAAAGTTTTGCTTCCCAGGCCGTGGCCCCTACTTGGCTGCTGCTCTCTGTGGAGAAGCGGTGGCCACAGCAGCGGGTCAGGCCAGCAGCGGGCACCGAGGGGTGGCGGGGGTGTCCTTTCAGGGTGCCCCTGGGACCCTGGAGAGGGCTTTCTTCCTGCTTCTTGTCCTTCTCTGGTGCATGCAGGCTGCTTCCCCCATGCTTCACTGAACTTGATGCTTTTGGGGGGCTGAGGTTTTCACCTGGGGGAGCCCTCTCCGTTTCCGCCCTCAGTAGACATTGCAGGATCTGCGGGCCTTGCTCCACCTGTAAACGCCGCTGAACGCAGACAGACGCATGTGGTGAATTTCGTAGAGAATTTCCGCGGCTTGACCTTGGTCTCCCAGCCCTTGATCGCTTGTGGTTTCCTTGCTCTCTTGGCATCTTCCTTACTGCCAGTCTCTCCCGTATAACCGTCTCTGCCCCGGTTGTGTGGCATACTCCATTCGTGAATCGCAGCATCTAAACTCTCGACACCGCTGCCTTGTCCTCCTCCTCTCTGTGGTCCCTGCTCTGCCTGGCTCCCCCCTGTCGCTCCCCTGCCCACCTCCCGGTGTCACTCCCAACACTGGCAAGTTCTGGTGGAATTTCAAGTGAGGCGGGATGGCTCAGGAAAGAGACTATTTAAAGCGAGCTGCTTTGGGCTTGAATACCCTGATCCCAGGCGGAAACATCTGTGTTTAGCTTCTCAAGCAGCCCATAATTGCCCCAATTATAACCAATAACATTGTTCGCAGACTAACAAAAGATGAGCTCCGCACGGCTTTTGCCGGCAAGTCCAAACCAGAGTCCTCAAAGCAGAAGGGAAAAAAAAGTAACAGCCTGGCTTCTTATCAAAACCTCCCAAAGCAAATACTGCTCTTTCTCTCTGCCTGTGGGCGGCTGCACGCACCCTCCTTTCTGAAGCGCGGCATGAAATTTTCTACAAGCTCTCCCGATGCCTTGGTACCTTTCACGGAAAACATTCGTGTTCCGTGGGCTTTCTGAGTCTCCTGCCTGCACAACTGCCCAGACGCTACCTTTGAGTCAGAGCCGCAGCTTTTGCCCTTCCCTGTGCTTCACTGCGCCGCCTGTCCGGTGTGCTGGACTGCAACCTGGGGTCGTGTTTTGGGGTGCCGCTTTGTTCTTCCGGGGACAGCAGTCACCTGCTTTATCAGCTGAAGGCCAGGGGTACTCAGGGATTTAGACAAAGCAGGAGGTTTTGCATTGCCAATGAAGGGAGTAATTGCAGGATTAGGCACAAATGGGAGCTGTCACCAAGCTATTTCATCTTCAATCAATCAGGTATTTATCAGCTACACGCACCAGGGCTCCGGAGATTCCGCAGAGGTGATAATAACAGCACTTGCGGCTGTTGCAGTGATTTAAGCACTTTCACACCCATTATCCCAGCAACAGCCCCGTGATTACTTCCAAGTTACAGTTGAGACTGAAGCCTGAGGTTCGGGGAATTAGTTCCATGCATGGCAGAGACAGGACAGAGTGCTGCAGCAAGTGTCCCCCTGTCAGTCAGGGCTGCTTAGAAACTAATACCAGGACCCGGCCCAGCACCTGTAAAACAATCAGCAGACAACACAGGGCTGGGTGCGATTAAACTACATGCTCACAGAGCAAGTACGGGGACATTTGGACAAGTGGCATTTTCTTCAGGATCTAATTAGAGCCCGATGGGGAGACAGCTGGAATTTGGATGGGTCAGGAGCTCTGAAGGGTGAGGTGGCAGCAGAGGCCAAAACACAAAAGGAAAGTGAAGGAATGAGCTTTTTTCTGAAAGCCACTGGTGTGCCAGGTGGTGAGATAAGTTTGTCTGTGTGCTTATTCAGTACGTTCACACATGTACAGGGCAGGCGTGTGTGACCCGGTCACACTCAGATTGTGGTTTTGGGTCCTTCTTGTGCCAACTCTCCAGTTTCCCAAGTCTACAAAGGACCTTGGAACGCTCCTATGTGCATTCTGGTTGTGGTGGAGCTGCCCATCAGGTACCTTAGGAGAGGAAAGGGCCTTTCCCAGGAAAGAGGGGTCATCGAGACAGCAGCTGCAGAGGCTTGAAGTGCTGACAGCTCACCAGCAAACTACATTTTCCAACCACTTTTGCTGATATGCCCACAGTTGCACCTGTCTAACATAACTGTTTCCTTCTATCCACAAACTAGGGAGATTTGGGGCTCACTAACTGGGGGACAAGCTGATTTTCTGGGCATCTCCCTCAACAGACTGTAGTCACTTTCATTCTTGATTTTCTGAGATTCTGTGGCTTTTCAGAGTCCAAATAGCTGCCTCAGCAATGCAGAAGCACGGGCACGCACCACAGCTCAGAGGCGCCCAGACTGCCAGGAGGGGCTCAGCTTGTCTTGCCAGCTGCCACCCAGAGTGGCTCAGGGCCAACCCCGCTCTGCTCACACCAATCCTGTGATCTTCTGCCACCAGTGCGTCCCATTCATCCTCTCATTCATTCATCCAGGAACACGTGTGGAGTTCCTGATGGAGCCACACAGGGCCAGGGACGTAGAGCCGGCAGCGCCCTCGGCTTGCTGCGTATTCATGGTCAGTGTCATCAGCAAAAGTGAAAGCCCAGGCTAGTGGTCCTGCAGGGGCGAGCCTGCCCAGCTACCTACTGGGACTGCTGGAAACTGGGACTTTTGTTTTGTTTCCTTAGCTTTCCTAATTTGTACTTTAGTGGATGTTATGTATAGTTACTAAATAAATGGAGGATGTGTACTAAAACTGTTAAGCCAGGCATGGTGGTCTATACGTGTAACCCCAGCACTCCAGGAGGCTAAGGTGAGAGGGTCACAAGCCCCTGCCTCAAAGGGAAAAAAATTATTTAGTTCCTAATAGCTAATAGGATTTTGAAGGTTTCCACACAAAGGAATGATCATTTGAGGTCATGGATATGCCAATGACCTCGACCTCGGTTATCACGTACAGGTATGGAATGTCACACTGCACCACATAAATAGGTACAATTATGTCAAATCGTTTTTTTAAAGCTGATTGCTAGGGGTACAAAGTTAAGGAAGGTTGGAGATTATTGGTCTGCATCTGTTGCTCTCTTGTATTTTCTAATCTTTTTGCAAAGAACACCGGGTGATTTTACAAAAGTGAATAAAGGCTTTTGAAAGTATCTCGATTACCTTGGTGGTATTTGGGGAGCATCTTCCAGGATGACAGTTCAGTGTCCTCCCTTCCCACTGAGGCACCTGGAGACCCCTCCCAAAGCCCCACTGTATGAAGTCCTCTCCTCTCCCCCTTCCTTTACCAGAGAGGACAAATACCCAGCCATTCACACAACAAAGTGTTAACCATCTACTCAAAGGCCTTGCTAAGGTCCCACAGGTAACAATAGAGCTGAGTCTAGAACTCAGGGCCCAGGTCTCCATGTCCTGCTGTCCACTTGTCGTGGCATCCTGGGCCCATGCAGGGAGGGCAGTGGCCTTGTCCCTTGCACCCCCCCCCCACTCACCCTCCACCCTACTACATGCCAGTCCTATTTTTCCAGGACTCGAAGCTAAATAGAGGCCTTTGGGAAAACAAATGTAACCATCAGAGGAGGAAGTGAATGTAAAGCAGCCTCCCTTGGTGGTGGTTGGCAAAGGCAGGAGTCCTGTCTGCAGTGGGTCTGAGGACCAGGGCCAAGGGTGAACCTGCTTCTTCCATGACAGTCCCCCCCCCCCAGACTGGGGAGGGGGAGAGCCAAGAGGCTGTGATCTGAGAGGCAGGCCTGGGGTCTGGGCCACAGAAGGTCCTTAGAATTTCACTTCCATGGCCACAGACCATCAGGAGGAAACTTGGGACAGGAGCTAGCGCCCTGGAAAGCTTCACCCCTTCCAGTTCTATGTCTTCGTCAAAGCTCAGTTTCTTACCCTGTAAAATGGGTGTGATCACAAAGAGTGGGTGCTTCTGAAGTCACTGGCACCAGGCCTGGACCAGCGTGACTGCTTGCAGTAGTCATGAGATTTTAAATTTAGATTCCGGGGCCAGAGATAAAGCTCAGTGGCACAGCACCTGCCTGGCAAGCGCAAGGTCGTGAGTTTGATTCCTTAGTACTGAAAAAAAAAGATTCCACTCCAAAATTCCACCAGAACTTGCCACACTTCCAAAGCAGAAACTGTTAGGAGTTTCCAGTTGCCCAGAGCTCACAAGTTGAAGTGGAACACCTGAGTGCAGTCCTTGGTTCTGCTATCTATTAACTGGATGAGCTGAGACAATTGCCTAATCTCCATGAAGTTGTGTGTATCACGAGAAGGGGGTAAAATTAACTCTAGGATTAGGATGAATCTGAATATAAGCATCATTTGTAACCTGTAAAAGACAGTGTTCCTACGTGCAACTGACACAAGGGTGATATTCTTCTAGGAGGAGGGAGGCCTTCTTTCCCTTCGCCACTAAAAGCACCAAAATTACAGGTTTCCTCCTAGGTCATAAATCACAACTCAATCAGAGTTTAGCTGCAGCTGAAGGTGCATACGTAATCCTCAAACAGAAAAGCAACTAATTTTATTGCCCTAGGAAGCAAGAGAGCACGCAAGTAGATTAAGGTTAGGTCAGAGTAGTGTTTGATCTTTATAAACAGTGAGACACAATCAAGCTTATGAGCTGTCATTACCTATATAAAAAGTAATTGAACATTTCTTGATGCGATACAAGATGCCCTGATGCCCTCACAATGGTGAGCTGAGCTCGGCTCCTGGGAGAAGCACAAGACACGTGCAATTCAAACAGCCTCGGGCTTACTATAGTTACTGATGGTCATTTGCTGCTAATAAGTAAATGGGGGAAAGAAGCCTGTCGTCATCACCATTTTGTGGAGAACACCGAGGCTCTCAGAGATGAGATAACCCACCCGCAGTCACACAGCGGCAAAGGATAAGGTGCAGACACATTCAGCTCATGAATTAATGAATCATTCATTCTCATTTTAACGACATCAGTGTGTATACAGAGAGTGTCAAACCTGCATATAGATGTGGTGGGGATTTCTTGAAGTTTCTCTAAGGACGTGGCTCTGTGGTAGGGCCTTCACTCAGCACGCATGGGGCTCTGGGTTCAGTCCCAGTACTGAGGAAAATGAAATTTTCTACTGAGTTCCCAAAGTTTAAAATCTGACCTATTGGCGCCCATGACTCTAGTAGGCGCTCTGAGGAGTACAGTATTGCAAAACGCCCTCCTTGTACTTGTGTCTGTTTTGAGCTTCTCCTTGGAGTAATCATCCCATTTAATGATGGCAGGGGACTGTGACATGGGACTGCATGCTCGTTCCACGTGGGGGTCCTCTGAATTGCAGAGAGAATGACTAGCACCAGGTCTAGATGGGTTCTGAGTAATAGGTAGATCCACGTACTAAAGGTGAGGGCAAAAATTAGAGGCCACAGGAGACGGCAAGATAGATCTCTCATAAATGAGAAGAGGACTAAGAGAGGAAGGGAGAGAAAAAGAGGGAACAGGAAGGGGGACATAAAATGAATTAAAATGTGTGACCTACGTGGACTGACTCCCCACAATAAATGTAATCACTACGTACAGCAATCATGTACTAATAAAATTTAAAAGTGAGGTTAAACTTGAGGGGAGACAGGACTGGACAGGAGGTGAGTCTCAGCCCACAAGGAGGGCCTGGAGAACACCAGTAGATTTGATGCACTGTCCCCAAAATCCAAACAAAGGGACCTCATGTTTTCCATGCAGCCTGCTACCAAATGGAGCACACATTCATTGTCCTGGGACCTCGCCTGTCTTCTCCTCACCACTGAGTCCCATTTACCCAGAGTTTGAGATAACAAATATCAGTCAAGGCACAGATCGCTTCCTGCATGCGTGAGTTGCCTCAGTTAATAGCACTCACGAAAAACCTCAGCGGGGAAGCATTTCATTAACATCCTTCCCAAGTTGAGCTCAGCGCCTGCACACATGGTGTGCTGCAAGCTTCGCTTAGGAAGCCAAAGAATCCACGGATTCCCTCCTGGAATCCCTTTCTTCTGGGACATTCAGCTACTGCCATCTAGTGGCTGTGGAGGGCATTGCCATGCCATGTGGACACACTATAAAGAATGTGTTTCCTAACTAGAGAGATAGAAAGTGAGTAGCATAAGAATGTGAAGGCGATTCTCAAATTAAACAAAGGAAGGACTTAGGCAGTCCTCACTTTAATACTGGCTTGTGTTCAAGAATATCTGTGTGGGGGCTAGGGAGATAGCTCAGTGGAATAAGTACTTGCCAGGCAAGTGCAAGGTCCTGAGTTTGATCCCTGGTACCAAAAAAAAAAAAAAAAAAAAAAAATTGTGTGTATATAGTGGCTACTCAGAATGGGAGATATATTTTCACTTGGGAAGAAAACTTCCTGAACTTGTCTATCAACTCTTTTACCTGCACAGGCCAAGCACCAAGCCTCATCCCAGCTGTGCCTCATGGTTGTTTGGGCCAGTCTTCTACCAGAATGTGCTGGAGTCCCAGTTTAGGATGTCACAAGTCCAACACTGCTCTACAGAGTGCTCAGAGATGAGAGAGAGGCACTGGTAGCATCACGGAGTGGATGCTGTGTGCCGGGCTTGCTTCCCAGAGAAAGAGTTTGTTATGCACTGGGTATTATTTTCACTGCTTACAAACCCAAACCACTAATAGTCACATGAGATCAGTACTAGGATTCTCCAGTTCACAGGTGAGGAACTGCCAGGTTGGGTACACCTAGCAAGTTGCAAGACTAAGACCGAAACTCAGGAGTCCTCCACTGAGCAGATGAGAAAGCGCGTGTCACACAACGCCACAGCATTGGTCTGGGATAGCTGTGTCACGGGCGTGGCACCAAAGGCTCACTTGCTTCCCACTGTAATGTGTCATCCTGAGATGCCAGAGTAGCAGATCAGTCCGGCTCAAACCAGAAGTTGGCAGTGACTTTCCAGAGGTGACCCTTCTTGATGCGTGCATGAGGCATGAGTTTGAGAAGGGTTTTCTGAGCAGAGGGAGTCCTGAGCTAGTCTGAAGACACTCAGAATCTAGTGTAGCTGGAAACTGTTTTTCCTAGGACTAGAAGTGACACCACAGTGTGGGACAGGTGGAGCGAGAGCCAGTGCTCAGCCAAGTCCTCAGAACTCCTCCTGGTGGCCTTGGAAGTTCTAAAATTACTTTAAGTAGGAAGTGACATCATCAGATGTGGAGATGCCTTGGCGGGAAGCCAGATGATTAGATGGACTAATTTGGAGGTTATTACAATAACAAGGCAATAAATCTCAACTAAGGCACTGGGGCTTGGGACAATGATGTAGAAATTGCATTTGAGATACATTCATGGATATAGATGTTGGTGTTCATTCTTCATTAGGCTGAGACATCCCATAGCTGAATGATAAAGGATAATCCCTGTAGCGGACTGGACATCTGGACCCACCCCACTTTCTGCAGGGCTGGACTTGGAGAGTGAGGCAGTGATCTGAGACACATCGGCCTGCTTCCCAGCCCCACAGGTTATGATCTAGCTCCCTTGCGCTTTTGGAAGTGCTGCTTCCTAGGTCTCCCATGTTGAGCCCCCTAGGAAAACTCCTGCTCATTGTTAACACCCATCTCAGCTGGATGTGGTAGCCCATGCCTATAATCCTAGCACTCAGGAGGCTAAGGCAGGAGGATCACTGTGAGTTCGAGGTCAGCCTGGGCTCCAAAGTGAGTTCAAGCCCCGCCTGAACTGCATAGTGAAATCTTGCTACCCCAAAAAAAAATTTTTTTCAAATGCCAATCCATGGACTCAAACATTCACTGAGCACCCTCACAGTCACCATCACCATGGTGTGAAACACTTCCACACTATACAAGAAGAGCCACATCATTTCCCAGTGTGGCCGCTGGTGACCTCAGCTACAGGTCCTTTCTCTTCTCCTGTGGACTGGCTCTTTCACACTCTTCTCACACTTACAACTCTCCAACTCTGTCATGCATACAAGTTACCTCAGAATAATGCTGAATATACATAGTCTTGCCTGATCCAGTGGTTGTGGGTGGGCTTAAGTTCTCCCAAGACCCCAGCAGTTCTGCAGACTACACTTGAGTAGCATGATCCTGTGCATTTTCTAAGGGAATTCTGATGAAAAAGCAGTAAGGCAACTATCTTTGGTTTTCTATGCTGCGCAGAATTTAAGTACGTGATTTAATGGGTTTGGACAATGCATACTCCCCCTAGGACCTCAACAGAAAATGCTTCTATTTCCAAGAAGTTCCCTTGTTCCCTTGTCCATTTAATCTTCCAAGCAAGATGGTTCATCTGGGATCCAGAATGATGGGGTCTGAGGAACTAACTTTTTGATTCAAGAAGCTTGATACAAAGAGAAATTCTAAAGAGAAATGAAAGAAACCACACCCATCTTTTAGGCGATCTTGTGTACAAAAACTAGTGGTCTAACTAATTAGTAGTGCTACTCTCTCTGAATAGATTTTTTGTTCATTTTTCCATAGATAATTCCATAGGCCAGCTCCTGTGATTAACATGGATGGCCAAATGTCCTTCTTGGTCCTGTATTCAGGAAAACAACTCTCCTTAGTCTTTTTGGCTTCTCCACAAGCCCCTAGACTGGGTGTCTTATCAACAACAGCAATGTGTTGCTTACAGTTATGGAGGCTGGAAAATCCATGATCAAAATGCCAGCAGATTCACTGTCTCAGAAACCCATGCCCTGGTTTGTAGACAGCACCTTCTTCCTGCGGCCTCACCAGTGGCTGGACTATCTAGTGCTCATGAATCTCTTCGCTAAGAGCACTCATCCCTCTTACCTAAACCCCAGGCCCCAACTTTTGATGCCATCATAGTGGGGTTAGGATTTCAATGTGTGGATTTTGGAAAGACACAAGGGCTCAGACCCTAGCACAGACTTTGGAAACTTGTGCATTCCTGACTGGGCCAGGGAAGGCTGAGAGCATGTGCACACCTTGGTCACTAATAAATCTCAGATTTTACTCACCATCCTCTTGCATAGTGCTTTGCCAAAGCTCCTTAGAGATCTCATTTCATCTCCATCACAGATCTATGGCAAGGCAGGGGCCACAGTCCCCTTTTGTGGCAATGGAAATTGAGGCTTGGAGAGGTTGACTTAGAGCCACAGGCTGGCCAGCTAAAGTGGCATCTGAGCTCTCAGAAAAGCTGTCTCTGCCACCCTACAGTCACTTCCAGAATGGTGGCAAGGCCAGCAGAGTGCAGAAATCAGGGGGACCTCCAAGGAAACTAGACAGAGTCATGCTTGAGCTTAGTCCTGGGAACAAGGCCAGGCCACCTGCACCCCTAGAAGCTGCTCCCTGAGGAGAGGTGTCCTGCAGCACCCCCGTGGCTGGGCTAATCACCATGCTTCCTCCTGTGTATTTCAGCACCTTGCTCCCTGGTCCTGCACCATGAAAATCCTGCTCTGCAATCTCCTGCTGCTCAGCCTGCTCTCCAGCATCTTCAGCAGTTGTCCCAGGGACTGCCTCACCTGCCGGGAGGAGCTCAGCCCAACTCCGGACAGCTTCAACCTGGAGGTAGGTCCCCCTCCCTCCTGATCCCAACTGGACCCTGAATGAGAAACTCCATCCTCTTCTGTGGGTCTCCTGGTCAGGAGGAAACAGATGTGGACTTGAACCTCCAACCCTAACAAACACATGCTTACCCTGTCTTGTCATTCCCAGTATTAAAAATAATGCTTCTTAGCCAGGCATGGCGGTGCACACCTGGAATCCCAGCAGTCTGGAAGGCTGAGGCAAGAGGATCACCAAGTTTGAGCCTCGCCTGGGCAATTTAGCAACTTAGTGAGACTGTCTCAAAATAAAAAATAAAGAAGGGTAAGGGTATTGCTCAGTGCAAAGGCCCTGGGTTCAATCTCTAATACCACAAAAATAAATACACGCATAAGTAATGAAATAAAAGCCCCCTCATTTTTAGCCCCAGCAATCAATGAAAGAATCCTACTTCTTCATCTTACTGGAGTGTCCAGGATAATTTTCCCATGCTGTTCCACATCCTTTGAAATTCTTTCTTCCCTTGAGTATGACAACACCTACCTTGTCATTTCCACCTGCTGAACACTGTTACCCTCCAGTTTTGACACTGCAGATGATCCTGCAAGTATTCATGATGTTCTCTTGTATTTTAAATTTCCATCTTGAGGTGCAAATCTAGTGCTAAACTTTTATTCATTAAATAAATTGTTTTCTTACCTCCTTCATTTTCAGCCTAGTCAGCCCTCTCCTCTTAAATCCATTATAATTCAATTTTTTCCCATTGAAGTCCATTAAACTTCTCCCAAGCAGCTACACAGCAAACCCCTCTGTCTTTCAAACCAACCAAAGCAGCTACCATTCCCTGGAGGGCAGAGAATGCAGCATCTGTGTTGAGCAAGCCACCTCGGGGTCTCCTCGCTCCACATAGTAGTAAGCAGCTCACAGCACCTGGATACAACCAAGGTCCTTTTCCAGGTCCCTTGTGCTTTCCTCATGGACCTGCCCTACCCTCATGCCCCCCTCAGGAAGACTTGGCTAGCTCCCAGGGCTCTTCCTCCCTCCAGCTACTCTCCTCCAGCCCATTTTGGCTGCTCTTCCTCCCTGTACCCCCAAACATAAGACAGAGCCTACTTCTAGCCTGGTGTGGTAGTGTAACCCTGTAATCTTAGCACTCCAGGAGGTTCATGGAGGCAGGAGGGTCATGAGCTCAAAACCAGTTTAGCCAAGACCCTATCTCAAAAGCTAAAAGAAGGGCTGGAGATAGCTCAATACAAGGACTCCTGGCATAGTCCCCAGTACCTCAAAGAAAGAACAAGAGAGAGACATTTCATCTCCCTGCTCTACCTCTTCTCTCCAAGACCCCACCCACACATCTCAGCCTTTGCTCCTTCATGCTGGTAACTTGCAAAGCTGCACCCCAACCTCCTCTCTCCTGCCCTAAATCCACATTCCCATGCACTTTCCACAGCTCCCAGGAAATGCCACCTCTCTCCTACCCAGCCCTTTGCCTGTGCCTGACTCAACTCCAACTAGCACATACTTCAAAGTCCAGATTCACTTTCAGCTGCTAAGACAGTGAAGTGGAACCTTTTAGAGCTTTCAGTATCAAACAGCTGGCTTTGTCACAAATGAGTGATGGGGGGCTCAAAGGATGTGGAACAGTGTGGGAAAATTATCCTGGACACTCCAGTAAGATGAAGAAGTAGGATTCTTTCATTGATTGCTGGGGCTAAAAATGAGGGGGCTTTTATTTCATTACTTATGCGTGTATTTATTTTTGTGGTATTTGAGATTGAACCCAGGAGACCCGCCCAGAGGCAGGAAAGCAGGAGGGAGTGGCCAAGGTCAGGACCAAAGTCAAGAGGAACTGGGGAGGTCCAGGGAAAGGCTAGGGTCCCCACTGCCAGCCAAGGAAGCCGAGCTGCAGTCAAAGTCCTGCTGGGTCTACACATCACTTCCACCTGGAAGTACCTGGCAGTGTAGCCTGCGTGCCCAACCTACCTATATCCCAAGGCCCTTGACCCTGATAGCTGGTGTGTAAGATGCAACTGAAAACTATCGTGCAAGTTTACATTCTATAGAAAGTATATTATAGTAGAAGACATGGCCATGAATTCCCCTCAAGCCTCCTGCTCGCTTTGAGCACAGTTCTCCCATCATTCTTACCAGGTTCTGCAGCAGTTCTGGAAGCCCTCTTTCGTGAATATCTTCAGGTGTGCTCACATGGCCACATCAGTGTCCTGAATTAATTCAAAACATTAACCCTTCGGGGCCATTCTGAAGTCACACCTGTCACATCTGGTCAATAAGGTGGACAAGGACACACTGCATGTAATGCTTTTACAAACCTGCCTTTCCGTCAGACGGCACTCGGCAGCAGCATTCACATATTTTTTATCATACCTCATAAAGATGCCAACGAGGACTTGCACAACTGCCTCAGGAAGTGGCAAGAATGATCGAACAAGTATCTTAAGTGAGGGAGATTCATGGCAATGTGTCTTTTACTGTCAAAAAAAAAAAAAATGTAAATTAAGCATTCACCACACATTCAGTGATCCGTGCATATAGAAGGAAACCTACCACCACCAGGGTCTTTACTAAAGTGACCTTCAAAAGTAATCTGACCTTCTCTGGGCCCTGATAAGAGAATGAATAAAGTTCCTTCTGGATGATGTTCATGAGCTGTTTGGCTTCCAAATCCAACTCAGTATGTCGTGGCTGTCCCTGACACGTGCAAATCTCTCTCTCTTTCCATGCGGTGTGAGTGTCCTTGGCTGACCAATCAGCACAGGGCACAATGGCCAGCGCCCAGCAGCGCAGTACCTGCGTCTGTGGAGCCAGTAAGGTTCTAATATCCTCCGCCTCCTGCTGAGCACACCTGCTGCAGCCAGAGAAGGGACTTCACACTTGCATCTTGCAGAAGCAATGAAGAGCTTGGAGCGCATTCTCACCTCTCCAGTGCATCTGAGATTTGGGGACAACACGCATAGCTTTACTTCTTTGAAACAAGTCAGCAAACAGACCCATAAAGGCTACCATGGCCAAGCTGCCTCCTTGCTTTGGCCTCTATTTGGCATTAAAATTTATTTATTTTAAGTTTATTGAAACATTAAGAACGTAAGCAATCACATCACATTTCTAAATCTGGTAACCTTTGGGTATGACCACTCTGTGAATGCTGGGGGACTCATGTCTCCCCACCAGAGGACACACCCCTGAGCTACTGCAGGATCCCTCAAGAACTTTTCTGCTTATGCTCCTGATAGATGGTTGGCTTTTTGTTAGACTATAATTTTGGTTAGCAAATGGCTCACATACCCCAAAGCACCCTGGCCTTTCACCTGATTCTTTCTCTGTCCATTCAAGTAGGAGAAAACAAGATTCACCCAGTTGTTTTAGTGACAAAGAATAAGGAACCCCCATGAAACAATCTAGAAAAATACACTTACAACTGAACTAAAATCCTATTGCAAAAGAAACTACTTTCCTCTTTTGTTAAAGGAAACTCTTAAGGCAAAAATATGCAATGTATTAATTATTGAAACTGTCCTACCAATCGGTTTTGAAGAAAAAAAAAAAGGAAACTCTTGCAGCCACAGTGTTTCTAGCGCCCCATTGTGTCAGCCCTAGATGTTCTAGCTGTACCTCTTGCAGCAGATGGCTTCCAAAGGGCCCTTGGCCACAGGTGGCTTGGCTTTCTTGGCAGAACTAGACCATCTATCTCAGTGGCTTCCTACTTTTTCTCCAAAGGAACTGTGTGCCTGTTTCCCACGTGGTACCCTAAGCTTTTTTCCTTTCTGATGATCGAGCCCATCATCTAGCACACGCTGGGCAAGCGCTCAACCACCCAGTCATACCCCACACCCTAATCTTTGATCCAGACATCCAAATGGCCCCTTGCTCAGCCTCCTCACGAGCTCAGCTCCCCAGATCAATTTGGCACCAGTCTGAGACTCCAGATGCTCACACTAACTCTCGGGCTTAATATAGCAAAGTCATCAGCATGGGCTATGGAAATGTGTCCAGCTCACTTAACAGGCCATTAACACATCTCTGCAAAGAGGCTGGTGAGGCCCCCAGACCAGAGCTTAGGCATTAAGCTCAGATGTCCATCTGGAGCTACACATGCTGTTGTGACTTTGCGTTCCTCCTGTTTGCCTCCAACCTTCTCCTGAGTGATGAGTTGAGATGATTTTCTTTGTATCTAATTTATCTAGCAATGTGTCAAGTCTTGGCACCTACTGCGGAGTCTGGTTTGGTCATAAAACTCATGTTCTTGGACTGACACGAAATCTAATTACCATCTGTCTGACCTTAGAAGCCCAGGGGTTTGTAGGAGCCCTAGTACCCTCTAGACTTAACTCCTCCACCCATGTGCGTAAGCCAAAGGAACAGAACACCCCAACAATCATCTGGAGCTCCTGCTCTATGACAGTTGGACCTCAAGGAGCCTAGAGGTACTCTAGTTCCAAATCTTACACTTCTATGGTCTGTCTCAGAGGCGTCCACACCTCCCTGCATTCCCATTGACACTATACACCAGGGTTTCTCAGCTTTGCCAGTTGAGACATATAGGGCTGAGTAATTTTTGTTCCCAGGAACTTCTGTGTGCTGAAGGTGTTTTCTTAGCATCCCTGATACCTAGCTGGCTTTAGCAGATGACTACACAGTATGACAAACAAAATATCTCCTTGTATTACAATGTCCATCATTTAACCAAATGTAATAGAATTGTCTGCTATTTACTAGAAGGAATCAACTCCTACAAGGACTCAAATATAAGGTGGGGCTTCTGCTGCTTATATTTTGCCATAGAAGTTATTGTAAGCTTCATGTTCACACAGGAGCAATACAAATTTTGGTGGAAATTGTGAGGGGAAGCCGTAGAGTATGGCTGGGTCCCTAAGGGTGGGTGGAAGAAACACAAGGACAGAGTCTCCCCTCAGAGAGGGCAGACTGATAAAGCACAGGGATTTCAAGGCATGAGAAGTCTTCTTTGGCTGGGGGATGGGAAGGCAGAAAATGGAAATAAGATCCAAGAGGTGGGCTGGCCAGGTATCTGCCCGGTCTGCTTGGAGGTGAGAGACGTTTTATGGAAAAGACAAATATCAGGCAGTTTTGAACAACGTGACAGTGATGATGTGGTTGGAGTTACTCCTTGGGAAGAGTGCTCTGCCAGGGGCCTAAAGTGGATTCAAAGATAGAGATGGAGGAATCAGCCAGGGAGCCATGGCCTCTAAGAGACGCTTGGGCAGTAGCCAAGGAGATGTAAAGGAGAGGTCGACCTGTGTGCTGAGGGGTGGGGCGGTGGGAAGGGGGTGAAGAGATGCCTGGGCTTTAAACCTCAGTTCATCAGGAATGGGCACCGATAGAGAGAGACAGAGTGGCCGAGCAGAAGGGCAAGCTTGGGTGGGGACAGGACAGAGTTCTAGATGGCTTCATTTTGTGTGAACCCGGGGTTTGTCAACCTCGTCTCGGAGCTCTGGTTTCTTTCCTGGTAAAATTATGGAGCTAAGCCGGGGGTTCTGTTTCTAACTCTGAAATTCTATGAGCCTATACAACTGCAACATTTGAGAACTACCACTTCCGGTACAGACACAGATGAGAGGAGGTCGCTGCTTCCTCGGCTTGGATATGGAGAGGCTCTGTTCCTTTTCCCTCCTTGCATTTATGGAGGACCCTGCTCTTTTTCCTTCCTCCTGCCTGTGTCTCTGCAGCTGTGCATCCTCCAGTGTGAGGCGAAGATGTCCCCCAGCCCTCTCTGGACTCTGTGCAGCAAGGTCATGGCCAGGGGCTCTTGGCAGCTCAGTTCTGCTGACCCCGAACATGTGGTAGCCGCTCTTTACCAGCCAAAAGCCTCAGAGATGCAGCATCTGAAGCGAATGCCCCGTGTCCAGAGCCCATTCCAGGCACAGGAAGAGACAGAGCCAAGCACAGAGGAGGCTGGCGAGGTGGAGCAGAAACAGCTGCAGAAGAGGTTTGGGGGCTTCACAGGGGCCCGGAAGTCGGCCCGGAAGTTGGCCAACCAGAAGCGGTTCAGTGAGTTTATGAGGCACTACCTGGTCCTGAGCATGCAGTCCAGCCAGCGCCGGCGCACCCTGCACCAGAATGGTAATGTGTAGCCGGAAGGGGAGCCCCTCCCAGCTGCACCACCACTGCAACCCTTGAGTGAGTTGGGGACAAAGAGAGACCTCCCACACCCAGCCATCTTAGCCTTTTCCCAGGCCCAAACACACAGATATACACACATGCGCGCGAGCGCACACACACACACACACACACACACACACACACACACACCCCTCTCAAGGACTCTAGATCCTTCTGGACCTAGGAGAGATAGTCCTGGTCCTGCCTCCTCCCTACCCTTTTTCTAGGGAGCCAGGATTTTCCCATTCTTGTTTCTTAAGCCTGGCCACTCCCATTTAAAGATTGGTTACCATGGGAATAGTAGTAGTATGTTAAGATAACTAATTCCTCCATAGCTCTTTGGGAGCCCAGTTACTATGGGGACAGTTAAGTGGACCAATTCTATTATCCAGTTGCCATAGAAACCATTCAGATCACCTTTCCTCGGAGACTCTCTGAAGACCAAAGGCTGGACCTAGTCTTAGCCATTCACAAAGAAGCTGATTACTGTTTCACCTTCAAAGGTGCCTTTCCTATCCTTCCCTTCCTCTACACCCCAAGAGGACTGCCCTCCCTGGAAATCATACAGAGCGCAGAGGTAGGCTAGCTTACTTTCTTCCGCAAGCTACGTGTCTACCAAGGAACCTGCCAGAGAAAAAGAGATTCCTTGTGGCTAATGGCATCACTGCTGAGCAGGACCTTGAGAATTGGGTCTAACAATAGCTTTTAGAATATGGAGGAAAAGGTGCATCTTCTTTCTTCACTTTGTGCTTCCTTGCAGAGTGTTTTTTTGTTTTGGTTTGGTTTTTTTACTTTGTCTCATTTTGTTTGCCTTTCTCTCTCCTTTCTTGTTTTTCTTTTGCTCTTCTGCCCCCAAAAGCATGCTCATACAAGTACCTATAACACATATCAGATATGTACAGCAAAGATTTCATTACCCATCATTCAATCTCAACTCTCCTTAGCCCATCAATGAATACATACCTTTGGATGGCACTGGAAACCACCACAGTGACATCTGCTGAAAATATAGGAAAAATCCCAGCCAGCAAGTCGATTACCTTAATCCATATATGGAAATATGATCATGAGCCAAGTCCCACACTCCTCTTTAAACTGCCTAGAAACTTGGCCCGCTGCAGAGAACCAGTCATTTCAGAAAGATCATCCCAAAACATTGCCAGAGTTGGGTTAGACCCTGATTCTGAGAAATAAGAGAAAAAGGTCTGCATGTCGTCTGTCCTTCATCTCTTCATGCATTTAAGGTCGCCATAGCATGATTCACCTTCCTTCAGGGCTTATCAATCTCTACATTGATTTTTGGAATCTAGGCTCCAAGGGGAGACAGCGCCCAGAGCTCTTTGCAGGTATGGTGTCTGTGTGCACTAAGCCTGTCTCCAAACACTGACACAAGTATCAAACGGTGGGGAGAAAGCTGCCATGTTTATTTTAGCAAAATGACTAATTCCAACGTCCTGTGTGAACTTGAACCATGTATGAAGTCATCCTATGTCTTTCTAAACCACATCTGTACAGTACCGAACAAATCTTTCAGAAATGGCATAGATTAATTTTTTACATCATAAAGACACTCTTCTTTAAAGTGGCTCTTAAGAGATCCCAAAGGCAGGCTGGGGCAATAGCTCAGTGAAAAAAGTGCTTGCCTGGCAAACACAGGTTGTGAGTTTAATCCCTGGATATCCTTAAAAAAGGAGAGAGAGAGAGAGAGACCAAAGCCATGTCTAATTCTCAGCCACAACAATTTTCTTTACCAAAAAAAGTTTTAAATCAGTCCCATTAGTAGGAATCAATTTACTTGGAGGAAAAAAAAACACTATGTGAGCTCCTATCCAGGCAATTGGTTTTTCTGATTTTCTGTTGCCCTTCCGGCTGCGAGGTACTGAAATGTGGCTGGTCACTAGGTCCCGTCTGCTGCACTGCTCAAGATGAAAAGTTCTTGGTGGACACACTGGAAACATTAGCCAGCTCATTTGGGCGAGATTGATGGCTCTCTCTCTCTCCTTGAGTGAGTGTCTCTCCGGTCCTTTTTTCTGCACGTGCACAGCTGCCGAGCTCCAGTGCAGACATGTGTAAGTGAGCCTGTAACACACACAGTCAGTCACACACACAAATGCTCGGCCTGCCTGCTGCATGATAGATTCCTTCAGCTTGCTTTTACCAAAGCCTCTCTTGACTCCTAAGACATCCAGTGACAATCTATACTGAGCAGGCCGCCACCCAGGAAGTGCCACGTGCCATCGGAACGCAGGGTGCCAAGGCACAGGTCCTGCTCCACACTTAACTGTGAAAGAATACGGCTGGTCTTTATGGCCACCTCCCTTTCCCTGGCCCTGTACTGTCATCCCCTTTTCTGCTGCCTCAAGCCTTGATCCTTCTAGACTACGTAGAAAATGAGCAGAGTCACCCATGGTCAGGTATTAGTGACCCGAGGCTTAAAGAGCACTTGTACTCTAAGAAAACCATAAATGAGAACACAGCAGGGATTCCGAACACCAGGGACAACAGACCTGTTTCCAGGTAGGGGATCTGTCACTGCCTTTCAACCCACAGCCCACTGACCTCACCTTCCTCCTATTAGTCCTGCCACAGAAGCAGATCCGATGTGCGAGCGGGTGCTAAGGAACCCCTCAGCTACCTAGGGACATCTTTCTTGGGTTGCTAGGTTTCCCTCACTTGGGAGAAAAGGAGGGGAGGGTCGGAAAAAGCATCAGATTTGCACTGAATCATTTCTGTCTCCCCAGGCGTCCTGGTGATCCCCAAAACAGCATGTGTCCAGCCCCAGACCTGCCGCCTGGGACTCAGGATTCCTTCCTCCCCAAGGCACTGAGCCTGCAGGCCCTGCGGGCATGGCCTCGGGCACCTCCTATCCAGTTGTTTCCCTCACCTGGCATGATTCCCCACAACCCTCTTGCTACTTCAGAGTGTATTTTTGTAATTCCTCCAGCTAACATTTTAATGCCCCCGTCTTTCCTTGTCACCCCCTCTTCTCTCTATGGGGCCGGGTGAAAGGAGAATGAAATCAAGCCTGGGGTTTCAATCTGTCACTGCCATAACTTGTTTGTAAAAGAGCTGTTCTTTTTGACCGATTGTTTGAAACAACTATTTCCCCATTAAACTTCTACTGAGCAAATGGTTAATAAACTGGTTTGCATTTTCTAAATGGTGTGACCAAGAAGCACAGCCTGCTGAGAGTTGAAGCTGTCTCTCTAGGGAGGTAGAGGCAGAGAGCTCCCTCGGAAGGAGGCGGGGCCCACTGTTTGAGCATGAGGAGCTCAAGGGTGTCATGCACCTTGAACTGGAAGTCACTTCACTCAGCTGGGTTTGACTTGGGCAGGGGCATAAGGGTGAAGGAGGTGGGCCCAGACTCTGTGGGTGGCCGGGTGCGTGGCGCACCCCCAGGCTCTGATAAGGTGGCTATTTGCCCTCTTAGCAGTCCCTGGTGATGCAAATCTACTTTCTATCTCCGTTAAACATATTAAGGTGTGTGGCTAGCAGATCCCAGCCAGGAAACTCACAGGGAACCCACACAGAGTCACTGAGGAGTTAAACATCTACCAAAGTAGATAGGGGATGAGTTCCAGCACCCCATGGGTACCAAAATCCAACAGTGTTCAAATCCTTCACATAAAGTGTGTATTTGCATATAACCTCCACACATCCTCTTCTCCACTTTATACCATCCCTGCTAACAATGCCCAACGCCACAGAAATGCTATGTGCATCATTTTTAGGCAACATTGTTCAGGGTTCTTGATCAGTTTGGGTGCCATTTTAAAAAATATTTTCACAGTGCAGTTGATTAATTTATAGAAGCAGAAGCCACAAATACAGCCAACCAGCTGTACCCCAGATGGTCATAAGCGTATTCAGCTTTTACTTCCACCACTGGGAAGTCCAAGATAACAGGGTCCAGTGTCCTTACTGTGCCTTCAGAAAGTGAAAGGCAAGCAGGACTAAGGGGAGAGCTGAATCCTCCTCTTACTAGAGGCCCATGTTCTGCATAACTAACTCCCTCCTGCCATTTGACAGGCTGTGTAAGGCAGAACACGGGGGGTCAGCATTTCTTAAGGACCACATCTCCCAGGATCCCTACACTAGCCATTAAACGGCCAACCATGGCAAAGAATTTGCAGAGCAGCAAGGGATGCTGGAAGCTCTGCGTGCGAGCTGGGGAGCCCGGAAGGGGCAAGGAAGTTACTCAAACATGTAAGAACTGCAGCCATTCACAAACTCTAGGAGCTGAGGGGCTCAGCAACCCCACTTTCAAGCTCCAATGTGGTGTCCCCAGGTTGCCAGACCCCACCAGGAGCTAAAGAGTTAGGAGGTCCATGAATTCACCCAGAAGGGCAACCTGGGTAACCCCCCACCACAGCTGCCAATGGAGAATGCCAGCTGACTGACTTGGGGGAGCTTTGGCAAATGGTCGGCAAGCAGGTTGGTCCTAGATGGGATTTCCCTGGGTGAGAGGTGAAGACAGGTGGAGAAAGGACAAATAGAAGGAAGACACAGGGCTTCTCAAACTGCCATGACGAGCTCACTGCATCTTGAGTCAGCCCCCTTCCTCTCCAGCAATGGCAGGAGTCCCCAGACCCTGCTCCCAGAGCCACCCCTAGTCCCAAAAGTGACGCATAGAGACTCGCTAGAGCCTTTCTCCAGCTCCCGGGTCTTCTGCAGACTTCTGGCTTACCAAGAGCAGGACCATTGGCTCTCCTGCCCATCCCCCACATCCACCACCTCAAATGCTCCCAAGAACAGCACACCCTCTCTTATTTTATACAGACTGAACATTCAAACACATGTCCACAACTGCCTCCAGCCTTGTTTCTTCAACTTGGTCTTGGAATCTACAGGTGCTGCACTCAGCTTTTCTTCAAGATTGGCAGCTGAACTTGTAGAGACACCAGTCCCCAGGTAGGAGCCCCAGGTGGGATGCAACTTGCTGCTCAGTGCACTGAGGCCACTCTGCTAGGGGTGGGAGTGTCGCAGCGCATGGGATCCACGTTCAGGCCCATTTCTCTACATAGAGGGTCCTGGCCTGGAGATGTGTGGGTGTCCTCAAAGGCTCACGTGTTGTCGGAGGCACGGACTCAGAGTAGCAGGGAGAGATAGGACCTAATAGGAGATCCTTAAGTCATCAGAGGTGCACCCTGATGGGGGAGGAAAGGACTCCAGCCCCCCCAGCTTCTTGTCATTGCATTTGATCTCTCCCTCCCAGCACAGCCATCTGCCATGCAGTGTCACAGCCAAGAGGCCGACTGTGCCATACTGTTCACTAAATGCACCTCTTTATAAAGCTAGCCTGCCTCAGGTATTTTGTTATAAAACAAAAATCTAACGCCCTGTGACTTTTCTCCAGAAGATGCTGCCCTTTGTCAACAGAAGGAACAGAAAATAGTCACTGCCTAGGTCACAATCCTGTGCTGTTTCTCTCCCAGCTTCTAGACCTGGGCAAGCTTTTCAACCTCTGCGCCTCACTCTCACCTGTAAAGTAGGGACAGTAATGACTCCCTCCGAGAGCCACTGCATCGGTAATCCATGTACGCACAAGGCTTAGATCCTGGTCAACGTCACCTTCTGGTCCTAGAAGGAAGCAAGAGTGCACCTGATCTAGAGTTTGATGTGGGGTCAAATGCTGGCTCAGCACCGAAAACAATGAGCACTTTACTCGCTGCAAGGACAGAGGAGAAGAGGGACAAGCACACATTAAGCCAGACAACGTACCACTTTATTCCTTATAAAATATATTTCATATTGTTGGTGTAAAAACATTACATTTCACATTTTTAAAAAAATTTTTAACAGTAAAAATAATACTTAGAAGATGGCTGAAGGGAAAGAAAAAAAGCCAGTAAGACAAATTCACAGATGGGATTTTGCTTCTTTTTTTTTGCCCCTGCTAAAGTCACAACCTGGATGACCAGAAAGTAACAGGACAGATTTTTCTTCCAACAAATCAGAATTTACACACGCAAATTAATTATGTCCTCCGAGTGCACTGCGCGCACTGTGACAACATGGCCATGGCTCGCCACACTGTCTGAGGTCACCAGACTGCTTTCAGAGCCAAATTCACATTATTAAGTCCAAGCTAAGTTACCTGCGCCCTTTTGCTCAGTACCTGAGCCTTCCCCTGCCCTCGGACATGATTCTGTGTTCCACGTGGTGTGGACTTCGCCTCTGCCACGCAGCCTCCGCTCTGACGGGCACCCCAAGAAATATGTGGACACCCCTGGACCAGCAATTTCCCGAGATAACTGCCCTGTGGATGGGTCGCGCCGCACCTGTGGCATTGGCCTTCTGCCACAACCGGTGCGGGGTGCGTGGGGAGTGGGAGCAGGGAGACACCACGCATGATCGCCGGGTCAACCGCAAGCTACCCCAGCTCTGGGAAGGAACCACAGAGCAGCCACACCAAGGATGGACCCATGTTGGGGGCCCACACAGAGCATGAGACAGAAGCCACTGCCACCAAGAAGGGGGACAGAATGATACAGACAATAAAAACCAGACAGAAACTAAGTGACAGGAACAAAACCCTCTCCACTGTTAAAGCATCCCACCAATTTCTTCTTCCTCGCTTCCTTTTATGTCCTGTGCACCAATGGCAGGAGGAGTCTACCTTGAGTGGAGAAAAGTCCTTTCATCAGCTACAGCTGCACGGAACAGGCTGCTGTAGCCAGGAAGGCCCGTGAGGCAGGGTCCCAGTGTCAGGACGCTCCCTCCCCAGGAGATCCAGACCGGAGCAGCGCAGGAAGTGGGCCAAAGGGAGGAGCCACATAATTCTCCACGAAGCGACAGAAGAGAAGCCCTGGGTCACCTCTCACTGGCCTGGCTTTAGGCTTTGCCAAAACATAGACATGAACACTTATTTTTCCCAAATTGCAGAATTATATTCCTACCAAAGACGCTCATGTGTAAGCAAGCGCTTCTGTCCCTTCTGTCACCAGCCAAGCCCTGCACTACAGCCTGCACACCACTACCTCCCTATGCTGAGCAGTACAGATTTACAGCACACACATTATTTCCTACGCGGCATCATGTTCAGTGGTATCAGCCCTAGTGGCCAGGTCTTTTGTCCTGGGACCATCCGGATAAGAACCAAAGGAGGACACTACTACTCAGTCCCAGGCATGGTGACTCGGGGACACAGTGAGCCCAGGGTGGTCATGTCCAGGTTCTGAGGCTCCCTAGCCACTCAGTCCTTAGTCAACCCTGGCTGGCAAGGACTAAGCTCCCAGCTCTCCTCCTTGGTGAGAACAGCTCTGCACAGTAACCCCAACACCACCTATCCCCCCCAATGCCTGGCCTTCCCAATACCAAAGGCCGAAATCAGCAGCTACTACTCAACCCCACAGCGCCCACCCTCGAGGTCCTCAGCCAAGAGCTCACGCCCAAAGAGCTCTACCTTCCCTACCCTGCCTTCTGCGGGAAGAAAAAATGGAGGAAATCCTTGGGGGCCACCCACATGAAAGGTCTCAGAACACACCAGGAAAAAGGACAAAGTGTTCTGGCCCTTCCTCTTCCCACAGAGAAAAGAGACCCCAGGAAGGGTCACTCTGGCAAGGGCACCCTCTCGCCGGACACTAAAACCCTCTCAACCTTCCTCCAGGAGACAAGCAATGCTCAAGGCTCTACTGAACGGCCACACTTCCAAAAGCAAATTCTCAGCAGCCTTTTGGCTCAGCTACCTGGTGGCAGCCTTCACAAATCTCTCAGTCTGGGTGGGTCTTGAGAAGAAGCCACAGAACAGGCAGCTGTCAGCACAGAAAGGATTCCTTTTCCTTCCAGAGGCTGCTCAAATGGAGCAGCTTCCAAAGGAGGGGCCTCCTCTAGCGGCAGAGCCTCCTGGGGGCACGCGAGACACCAGCTGTCTCCACCTACCCCAAGTCTTCCCTCTGTCGAGAAGCTACTTTTTTCTTTTCTTTTTTAAGAAATTCATCTTGCTCACAATCCTTTCTGGAAATTTAGAGAGCAAGGGATTTGCCAGCTCAGCAGGAAACAGGACTCGTATGCAATACTATCCCCTCTTTGAGACAGACAAACTCATCCCTCCAGCCAGGAGAGGTGGGACAGGGACAGGAGAGGGAAGGGAAGGAATTCTTTGGTCTCTGGTTCGCTGCAGAATACCCTTGGTCAGTTTTGGCTCGCTCCTATTTCAGGGGGAAGAAAATTCATTTTTTTAAAAAAATAAAATGTTCCCCCAAGGGGGAAAAGTGTTTTAAGTGTTACACCTTTGCTGAATAGACTGGTACTCCACACCTCCGCGTGCATCTGCCCGGCTCTGCTGTGGCGGGTGCCTTTCTGCCCCCCTGACCCTGCTGTCACCGAGCGGCAGGTGGCCGGGTCCGGCTCAGTCCAGGAAGCGCTGGCACGCCTTCTTCCACCGGCAAGCGGTGCACCACTGGTCCCGGTGTTCAATGCCATACACCTTGCGGCATTTCTTGGCCTCGCCACGGGCTTTCCTGCCAAGGGACAGGAAAGAGGCAGAGTCACACACTGGTGGTCAAATACCGGCAGGGTGAGCAAGCCGGGGCGGAAAGGTGGCTCCTAACAGATGCCCACAGGGCCTGACCCCAGGGGCCTGACACAGCCCTCGTGTCCTCCACCCAGGGTGCCCTGGGGGACTGACACTGGCGATTATCCTGGGGTACATTCAAGGCTCATAACTACCAGTGGAGATGGGGCACAGAACCCAGAAGGGACAGTGCCCCCGGACTTCTTACCTGGTGCTGCTCTGGGCCCGGGGTGGAGAGGTGACAATCAGGTGAGATTTCACGGCAGGTGGCGGCTGCTGCGGCTCACTGAAGCTGAGTGAGCGGCTCCGGACCTAGGCATGAGGAGCACAGCTATGAGTACAGGCCAGGGCAGCCGTCCGTCCTCCAAGACAGCTTCCCACCCACCCCGGAGGGAGGGGACTGATTCCAGGCAGGAGGGGGCAAGCGACCAGGCCCAGGAGGGTGTGGAGGATTGCAGGGCAAGGCGGAGCCCTGAGCCTCACTGGGGACCTGACAGTCTCAAAGCAAGACAGCCACCTGGGAAGCTGCCCTGCCTACTCTGCCTAGGACTTAGATGCATGGAGTGAAGTAGGCACCAGGTTTTATAAGGTGTGACACTGCCCTGCGACACACCCTGGAGGCTAGAGCTCAGTGCATGTGATTCTGATGACTTCCGGTTTGCCCAGTTCAGAGTCCAGGACACTAAGGTGCCAGTCCACGAGGTCTTGCAGCCTCCCGAAGTGCCTCTCTCCTGCCCTGCACTTCATCCTCTCCAGCAGCCCCTCATTCTCTCCTTTCCTCTCCTCTAAGCACTGGGCTCTACCAGGCACCCAGGAACACACAGGGCTGAGCCAGGAAACGAACACAGTGGAAAGCCACTTGCCTTGGACCCCTCCGTGAGCAACCTCCGCCCAGCTCAGACATGGCTGGGGATGTGAGGATGGGGCATGCAGGGCTCCTTGCTATATCCAGGCCCAGAGGCCTGGCGACAGCACCATCTGTGTTCCCAGGATAGGCCCTCCAGCCCGCACTGCCAGCCAGCAGTTGAAACACAACACCACATTGCTAGCCAGAGGTTCTCAGGTAGAGCCCCGGGCTTGTGCGGAGCCCCATGTGTGGAAGGGCACACTCACCGGGGAGAGGGGTGAGGCAGTGGCGGGGGCAGCAGCCCAGCTGATGCTGGTGTAGATGTGGGGGGACACAGGGATCTGGAGGGACGGCAGAGCCTGCGGAGGTAAGAGCACATCAGCCAGGCTCCAGCTCAGGAAGGACTGTCTGCCCGGGGCCCTGTAACCTCACATCCCACGGGAAAGCCCAGCTGTACCTGAACGGGATGACCAGAAGGTACAGGGCCACGACAGGGCTATTGCCCAGGAGCAACCTCAGAGCACCCAGCTCTTCCAAACCACCTCCTCCACCCATCTCCCTTTTAACCCTCCCTATAATTGACCCTTGCAGCACAACGGCTTCTGGGTGCCACCACCTGCCAAGAATATGCCACACACAGCTGCCAAAAGCAGCCCCAACACCAAGTTAGGTGGCACTGCTGAAACACGACACACCGCATCCCCAGCCAGCGGTTCTCAGGTATCCCATTAGGTCTATTTGTAAAATCACAGCCACATCACGTGGACCAACAGGGTCAGCTAGGGCTGGACATGGGCCGAACCATGAAATGATTAAGTGGCCACTGATTCCAGTGAGGAGGCAACCCAGCCATTCTGGAACATCTTCTGTTTGAAAATACTACTTTTTAATTCCTAGCTTGCGTCTGGCCCAGAGTCAAAAAAACAAAACCAAGTACTAGGCACCAAAAGACTTTAAAATCAGCACCCAGGAAGCTTCTTCTCACGTACCTACTGCATGCCATGAAGACCTCCCTAAATGTCACCACCCCGTGACACTTCCCTAAACATGCTAAGCACTCCTGTGGTCTCGCCTACACCAACAGTGCTTCTTGCGCCTCCATAGAGCAGTACTTTGACTATGCCTTACAATACTCGTAGGTATATACGCATTGCTACGCCATGCTCTCTACAAAGCCAGGGGCTGGCTTATTCCACGTGCAGCTTACTTGGCCCAATGTGGGGCACACAGCTGGTATGCAAAACTAGACTGTTGCATGAACAGCTGCAGGACCTAAGACTAGCCCAGGGAAGCCCAACAGCACCACTCCACTGCTTTTTTTTTTTTTATTTAACTGAGGACTGAACCCAGGGATTCTCCTGGAGCTATATCCCCAGCCCTTTTCAAGACAGGATCTCACTAACTTGCCCAGGCTGGACTAGACGTTGTAATTCTCCTGCCTCTGCCTGGCAGTACTGGGGTCATAACCCTGCACCCCAACGCCAGCAACGGGATGGTTCCCCAACCAAATCCATCAACTCGATTACTTGGGGATTCAGCTAGATTGCTGGAGCCACTCATGACAGCTACAAAGGGAGCGCTCCTGAGATTCCCACAGGTACGGCATGGACTTCGTCTCTCTTTCCCTTCCTGACCAAGGTAAAGTCAGCACTTTGGCCAAAGGCTCAGCTGTCCGTCGGGGTGGTCAGTGTCCTGTGACACTGCTGGTCAGGGACCAGTTAAGCTAAGGCTGGGCCTTTACCTGGTACGCATGGTCGGCCTGAATGTGCCAAAAGGAGCTGGGCGCCGACTTGCTGAGCACAGCCGAGGGCAGGGAAGACTCCAGGCCAGGGTGTTTAGGGCCAGAGCACTGGGCCTTGGGCGGAGGCAGAGGGACAGCAGCGAGGGATGGGCTGGTCACCCGGGCGGCAGGGGCTGGCTCGATAACAGGAGTCGGAAGGACAGAAGGGCCAGCTGCAGCCACAGCAGGGTCCTCCTTCATCTGCACCTCTGTGTAGTAGAAATCCTCCTCCCGCTTGAACTGATCGGAGTCCACAGAGTCCCTGTGTGAGAAAGAGGCAGCCAGCGTCAGAGCCTCTGTTCAGAGCCTGTGGAAACCGCAGTGTGAAAGAGAAAGAATGGCCAGGGATCACCCAGCAAGTCACGCTGGTACCCAAAATGCCCAGCAGCCTTGCTCGCGACCAGTGCCTGAGGGATGCCAGGCTGGCACAGCAGCAGGAATTGTTTCCTGGCACAGACGCCTGTCCCTTCTGAATACCGGCTCTGAGCCCTGCCCCAGCCCTCCAGGGGCCCCTCCTCTGTCCCAGGGCTATGAGCCCCGTCGTGCCACAGCAGTCATCAGCCAGCTCCGCATAGATCCAGGCCCTAGCCCCAACATCAGTGCCCATGTAGCCTGGATGCCCAGTGAGAACGGAAATCACCACTCCACATCTGGGCCATGGGGTTGCACCGGAGAGCGGACTAGAGTCCCCCACTTCCACCCACAACTAAACATCTCGCTTCCTCCCTGGGCTACAGCCATTCTCACCCACCAGCAGGAAGCCTGCAGAGCCGCTAGCGGGGCTGGGCGCATGCTCCACACACCGCACTCAGTCCCTACGCTGCTGGGCTGGTAGGAGCGGGTAAAGGAGACTCGCCGGGAGCCTAGGAAGCAGCTCCGAGCTCCAGACCTACCCCAGGTGCAGGGCTTTGACGTGTCGCTTGATGCCCACAATGGAGCGCAGAACTTTGCCACAGCTGGGCCACAGGCACTTGTACACCACTTTCACGGAGTTCTAGGGGAAAGAAGAGTCCAGTCACCGGAGTGTGTCCTGCTCCCCGCTCGTGGTGGGGACTTCTGCTGGCTGCTGTCCTCTGCATCAACAGCAGGCCCCAGGCCAGGGTTCCTGGGGAGCAGAGACTAGCAGCCAGGGGTCCCTGGAGTAGGCCCTGGTAGCCAGAGCAGTGTGTGGTTGTTATGGTTTGTGTGGAGGTTTCACCCCAACGCCTCGTGCAGACATGGGGCAGTTTGTGATTGCTTACAGTGGGTGTGGATGGTGCACCTGCCCTGGGGCAGTTAATCTGCATTACAATGTAAGGAGGGGTGAGTGGCTAGCTCGCTGCCAGAGCAGAGGCCACTCCCCTTGGCTCTCTGCTCTTCGCTGCCACCATGAGTGGATGCTCTCTGCCCTATGCCACTATGCTTTGGAGCCAGTTGAGTATGGACTGAAACCTCCAGTAACTGTGAACTAAATAAACCTTTCCTTCCCTAATTTTGAGTGTTAGATATTTGTCCCAGCAACAAGAGATGAGTAACTGAGACAGTGGTGCTGTGACCAGGACCCCACCTCTGCTCCTCACACACAGGCCTGTGCGAGAGTGTAGGGAAGAAGGTAAGCTCAGGAGGAGGCTTAAAAGGATAAGGTGAGGCTAAGACAGGAGGATTGCAAATTCCAGCCCAGCCTGGGCAACCTGCCCTGACTCACAATACAAATCACACACCTTCCTTTTGCGTGGAGCAGGTTCATCCAACGGGAAAGGGTCAGAGTCAGTCTCAAAGCCGTGGTCAGTTTGGGGAGAACCAAAGGCATCGCCCAAATACTTGGGGCTGGCCTGGGGGTGCGGGGGCGAGGGCGTGGAGATGCCGCTGCTGCCACTCCAGTGGCCACTGGTGGTGCTGCTGCCGCTGTCAGACACATCCCCACTCTCCTTCCAGGGGTCAGCGCAAACCACTCGGGAAGCTGGGCAACAGAGAGAAGACAGAGATTATAGGCGGGCTTGTCCCCAGGTGACAGAGCCCACCAGAGCCACATCAGAGGCACGTGGTGAAGGTCTGAATCTTACCTCATACTGTTAAAAAATCAGGGACTGTGCCCATCAGTCATCCCAGCACTCTGGGAGGCTGAAGCCGGAGGATTGAAAGTTCAAGCCCAGCCTGGGTAATTAGCCACTTACTGGGACCTTGTCTCAGAAAAAGGGAGGGGATGGGATGCAGCTTCACTCGAAGGCCCTGAGCTAAACCCTGACTACCAGGAAGAAAAACTGCGGAGCCTGTTTTGAGAGCTGGGGGCGGGGGGTGAGACACTTCCTAGGGCTGGCAGAGGCAGGCGGTCACACGGTACAGCAGTGTGGCGGCCACTCTAAGCCAGGGTGTTGAGGCAGGAGGGCCCAGGCAGACGAGGATTTTCAGGCGTCCGGTTGAGCACCAAACTCCGGGCTGGCTCACGCTATGCAAGTGCTCCAAGATTGTCTATCCTGGGGCTCGGATCAAGGCAGACACTCGGGGCGGAACTCAAGAACCATCCAACAGGCCCATGGAAATCCACTCAGGAAGACCACAAGGGACAGGACAGCAGGGAGAACACACCCAGGCCGAGCAGGCCCCCGAGGGCAAAAGGCAGGTCCACCACGCGAGCCTGGGAACACAGCGGCCCTGCCACAAGGCCACCGCTTCCAAGGACGGGTACACCGAAACCAGCATGCCCAAGAAGCAAGAGAGAAAACCAGGGCAGCAGTCAGCCCTGTAAGTGAACCTGAAAGTCACTAGGATGCAGGGGACGGGGGATAAGAAGTTCTTCTGGGGCACAAATAGCAGCTAACGAGCCTAGATCCTGAGAGCAAAGTACTGCACGAGTGTGCCGTGGAGAGTGTGCAAGCAAGGCTTTTAGAGGCGTTTATGTGGACACAGGCACACACCCAACACACGTGCATGCACCGCGCCAGCCTGACAACACACAGGCCGGAGTGCAGACAGCATTCGCGACTATCGCAAGACTGCCCGTTTGTGGCAGGGTCTCACTATGCAGCCCAGGCGGGCTTCAAACCCAGGGTGCTCCTCCTGCCCTGGCGCCCCTGCTGCTGGGAGCAGGGGGTGCACCACCGTGCTCAGCTACCGAAGCAAGGCTCTTATGTAAATCGCCCTCTGCAGGACACTTCAGATAATTAGCTGCCAAGGAAGCCCTAGTTCCACTGACTTTTATCACAAAAGCAGAAATGTAAAACCTTTAACAACAAAAAAAGCCTTTAACAGACAATAAAAACTCATCAACAAGGGACAGAAGAGCCACATATGCTGTAGTCCCAGCTACTCAGGCCGAGGCAGGAGAACTGCAGGTGTAAGCCCAGGCTCGGCAACATAGCGACACCTGGGCTCAAAATACACAGCCAAAAGAACTAGGGGCCTCGCTCAGGAGTAGAGTTCTCTTGGGTTTGAGGCACAGTACAAAAGGACGGGGTGGGAGACACTGTGGCGCATCATCACGAGAGGCAGGTAGGTTGGAACGCATGCGTGTGCGTGCACACACTCCTTATGAGGACTGGAGTCATTCATTTTCTCTTCTAGGTCTGCTGACCCGGCCTCACAGATTCTCTTTAACTTGTAGAACTACCTGAGAATTTAGACTACCCTCTTCTGGGTCTACTTGGGTTGGGGGGTGGGGGAGCACTGATAAAGCAGCCGTGCAATACTAGGCTTCACCACTAGGTGTCCTCAGAGCTCAGGCTTTAAGGTTGCTCCCTCCCTTTCCGTCTACTGAGATCACTTTTGGGGATACTTGTAAAGGCCGCTTTCCTCCTGATCTAATTCCATATTCTCCTACAATTCATTCAGCCCACACAGATGAAAATGTTCTTCCCTGGGAGTAAAACAGGTCAGCTAGCCCTGTAAGAAATTTCCGAAAACGCTTCAAGACACCCAGCGATCCTTCTTGCTGGGTGACCGCCTCAGTGTTTTGAGGTCACCACCAATAGAATTTCTATTTTAACACACATCTGAAGTCACAGATTTTTTTTATCTTGGATTTTTACCATGCAGCGGCATCTGAGGGCTCTACTGAGGGGCTGTAGGCCCCACAAGTTGAGGAGGCTGAATCAGGCACTTGGAACAGGAGGTACGAATTTTCTGAGGCTTCTAGGGGACCGCTTAGCATATTTCTACCTCAGAAAACTAAATATTCCTCTTGCCAATGCCTTGCTCAGACTCCCAAAGTGCACCCCTGCCCAGGGGCTAGCTTAGCTCAGTGTTAAGCCTAAGCATCTCCAGTCACCTGGGGAAACTGAGGCACAGGGGCAGAAGCTCTGCCTCAATGGCACCAGAGGAGACTCCAGAAGTCCCAGGGCCAAGCTGACTTTGCATCAGCTACAAAGCAGAAGGGGTCAGGCCCATTTGCTCACCGGAGAAGTTAGCTTCGGCCCCTGGAGGGCTCTGCACAACTGGGCTGCAGGACAGGGAAGTCAGCACCATCGCCGCCATCATCTCGTCCATCTCCACTGCATCTGACTTCCTGCACTCAAACAGGAGGAGAAAGCTGACTTCCTGCGCTGGCCAGTCGTGGCGCCTTCAGAAGGCACCCACCTCGGACTATTTTCCTGGGGTCATCCTACATTTCTGTCCCACACCCCAGAATCCCCGTTGATGCACCCAGGTAACATGAGGAAGCCAAGCTGAAGGGCCCGCCTCCTCCTCACACGTAAGACGTGCTCACTTGGGCGCTTGGCGTTCACCATCCGGGGCAGTACAGCGGAGCACATGGGTCCCCCGCTTACGCTAGGCTGGTGCCCCAAGCAGCCCTCTTCCAACTTTGCTTCCAACTCTGCAGCTTAAAATGGGACATTTTATTCGGGGGAGGAGAGAGGAGCCAAAACAACAAATGGTAGGAAGAAAAGATGCCCAAAAGACATCAAAAGACTAAAGTCAGCCGCTTGCCTTTTCTCGTGTTTATTAGTACGCAGCTCCTACACGTGATTACACGCGCTGGGCACGCAACACACCTTCCCTGCCCTCCCCAGTCTCTAGGTCCCCTTCCCAATGGCAAAGGCTCCACCTCCCTCCTTTCCTACCATCTATCGTTTATTTTGCTCTTTCAATTATTTACACTTTGGGTTCCTCATATAAGCGACACTGTGTGATATTTAAGCTCCTGCATCTTATATGGATTGCACCCAACCTTACAGTCTCAAGCTGCGCCCATTTCTCGATTACCTCCTTTTCCTGTCTTACATGGAAATTTAAGAGGAAATAATAACACTAATCGGGTTCTTCCTCGTCTCTTCCTCCAGGTACCTAGGCATTCTATTAGCTGCTCAATGTCAACAGAGCCTACTACAGCAGTCTCCAAGCAAATAAGCTACACACTAAATCTTCCTGCACAGATCTCAAGGTTTTACACAGAGGCATTCTATAAAATTTATGTGGTCATTTTTTTTAAATCCATATGCAGCTATATTATTTAGAAGCAAAATTAGATCCATCTGTAAGTTAATGCTAAAGCATTAGGAAAAGTTATTCTGAGATAAACTTCTACATGTCTTTTTTGTTGCTTTTTTAAGAAATAGGCCTGGGCCAGGGAAATGGCTCAGTGGAATAAGCGCTTCCCTGGCAAGCGCAAGACCCTGAGTTCAATCCCCAGTTCCTCCAAAAAAAAAGAAAAGAAATAGGCCTTCTTTTTTTTAAACTGCGATGCAGTTCAGACTTCTAGTGATCCTCCTGTTTCAGCCTCCCCAGCACTGGGATGACTGGCGTGGGCCACCATGATTTACCTGGGGCTCCAGGGCCAGTATGGTATGCTACAGTACTGGGGACCGCACTCAGGATATTGCACTTGCCAGGCAGGTGCTCAGACCAATGAGTTAGCTCCCCACCCCACCCCCCCAAAAAAGGTCTTTTTTAAAGCTACCTCTGGGGAATTAGCTACCTCTGTCACAGGGACACCATCTCCTCAGGTCTAGGCACACAAGGGTATTTCATAGCATGGCAGCCTGTTTGGAGGGCCTATGTTAACTCAGTTTTGTTTTTACAATCCAGACTACTAAACTACGCAACTGGGTATGCAGAAGTTAAGCCATGACCACCAGCATATTAAACACAGTTATTTCTATGACCTTTGAATATTCATTTGCATATACTGGAAGGCAATTTCTTGGCAGGCAGCCCACTGAATACACAATAACAAATAAAGTCAAAATGGATCAGGCTCAGCGTGGCTGGCGCATGTGTGTAATCCCACCCCGTGGGAAGCTGAGGCATGGTAGGTAGCTGAACTACCTACCATGAGTTCAAGGCTAGCCTGGGCTACCTAGCATGACATTGTCTGAAAAGCAAAACCAACATGCTGGATCTATTTCACCAGCACTGGCCCCTCCAGACACACAGGGGTGTGACTGCCTGTCTTGTGTGTAACACAATCCCAGCCAGCAGATTTTCTTTCCCAATCTGAAAAGACTAACAGACACATAGAATCTAAAATATATATATTCTCAGAGAAAAGTCATATCATAAACTCTAAACCAGTGTGCCGGCATACGCTGGGTCTCAGCTAATCAGGAGGCTGAAGTGAGAGATCCTGAGTCGGAGGCCAACCTAGGCTATGCAGTGACACTCCATCTCAAAGAACAAAATAAAATTCTAAAGCAAATCACCCACTCTCCCTCCACCTCCAAGGTTCAGAGTATCCAAGCCGGGTCAGCACTCCGAGTGGCTGCCTGGGGCTATTCAGTTTTTCAGCTATAAGTGGTTTTACATTTTTAATTGTTTTTTTTTTTAAGAACCCAAAGAAGAACATTATTTCTTGACATGTGATACATAAACATTATATTAATTACACTGTAGTTTCAGGGTCCATCAATGCTACTGGGCTGGAGTACAGTCTTGGCCCCTGACTTACACCTCTGCTCCGTACCCCATCTTCCCACTGGCCTGGCAATGAGACCCTAAGACCCACGTTTTCGCCACCCCGGCACAGCCCGAGGCCCACCCTCACTGCTGCGCACCTCTTGGGGACATCGATGTTCCTGGAGACCGGTCTGTAGGCCAGGGCCTGGGCCACCCTGTGCTCCGGGGACATCGCCTGGGGCACCACGCCTTGCAGCTCCGCCAGCCACACCTCCTCCGCCTTGCAGCAGATCTGCAGCTTCTGGTCCAACAACCACACAGTCACCTTGTCCTCGGTCCAGCTGTGCTGCTCCACCAGGCCCGTGCACTCCCGGCCCCCATACCACACGCAGACCTGGGGGGAGGACAGTAGCCCGGGGTCACTCCTCCGCATATGTCACCCCAAGTTCTGAGTGTCAAGGTGTGTTTGCCATGTGATCCGCATGGGTCCCGAGGGCGATAGCTTTAGCAGGTGAAGGACTCAGTGCTCAGGGGCGTGTTTCTTACCCCAAGGGCATAGCATATGAGGCAGGGAAAGTTCCCTCACTCTGAAAGCAAGCTGAGCCCAGAGGCCCTCCCCCGAGGCCAGCCCAGCGCCACACTCTTGGACCTCCCAGCCACACCCACTGTGACCCATTAAATTACTGCTATGATGCATGTCCAGATGACCCCAACCCCAAAGCCTCATGCAGTCACAGTGGGCTTCTAGGGTTTGTGACTGACTCCTGATCCGATTAGGGGTGTGAGCACCGCACCCGCCCTGGGGCAGGCAGCCTGCATACAATACAAGGCAGGGAAAGAGGCTTGCTCACCGCTGCTCCTCCCCCTTTCCTTGCTGCTTTTGCTATTTTGTCATGAACTACTGCCCTCTGCCGTGTGCCACTCTGCCTTGGAGCCAGAACAGAGAAAGACACAACCACAAACTGTGAGCTAAATAAACTAAACCTTTCCTTCCTTAATTTTAGGTGGCAGGTGTTTTGTCCCAGCAATGAAGAGAAAAGCAGCCAACACAATTACCCAGGCCTGAACATCCTGCTCCAGGAGCCACCAACAGACCAGGACAGAGCAGAGGACCCAGACGAGCCATGCTGGGCCAGCTCTGCCCCAAACAGGGCCCTACGAACTCGGCACTGGAGATGAGCCACAACTCCCTGGAACCTGTGTGCCCATCCTCCCTCTCGCCCAGCCTGGCCTTTGAGTCCTGCACACTGGTGGTGTTCCATTTGTACCCACAACTTCCCACACCCTGCATTTTACCTCCAGAGACTGAGTCTCCGCAGGGAAGCTGGCAGCCAGCCTGTCCTGCTGGCAGCTGCCTTAGCGCGTGGGCAGAGGGCCAGGAGCACCAGCCAAGCAGGGAAACAGAGGCAAGTCTCCACTCTCAGTGGAGAGAGAGGCAGAGGCAGAGAAGCCCACGCATCTGAATGTGGTAATAATATCAGGCCCAGAGGGGGATGCTTCTGCCCCACAGGGGACAATAAAGGCTAAACTGAGTTCTGAGGACACAAACCTCTTGGAGCCTAGCCTCACAGCAGAGTCTAGAGCTAATTCTAAAGAAGCAATCTTCTGGCCCCTGGAAGCCGGGGATCCTGTTCCCTTGTTCTGTAAAGCTGGCAGACTGCACCTGGATCACTCACCTTCTGTCCTGGCTGAAAGGCCACCTGCTGGCGGCCTTTGGAGCCCAGAGCCTGGAGGAGCTCCTGGGGCTGCTCCTGGCTCTGGGGGTCCTTGCAGGTGAGGACAGGCTGGGGTGCGGTGCCTTCTGGCAGCTCCACCTGTGGCTCCAAGAGCGGCCCGGCCCCCAGGGGCCCCTCAGAGGCAATGGGGCCCAGCACCCGAGCTCCCAGGAGCGACCGCTTGCCCAGGCGGCGGGACAGCACGCTGGCCATGCTGCTGCGTCTGCAGGGGAGCAAAGGTGACAGTCAGTCCTCATCCACACCCCAAGGAAGCAGAGGCTCAGCCAGGAGTCATCGTCAGAATGAACTAGACATTTGAAACTAACATTTACTACTTTTGTTCTTTCCAAATTTATACCATCCCTAGGAGGGCATTAAGAAAATACTGATCAGCGCAAAGAAACTTCAGTCGCTCAGAAGCCTGGCTCCCGACGAGCTCATTTTTCCTAAAGAGTGTTCTGCCCTTTCCTCCATACATGCATTTACCACAGCTTTCTTTCCATAAAAACAGGATCCAGGGTTGGCAAACTCAACCTTCACTTAATTCACGGGCTAAGTTTCTAGGACATCACTAAATGGTAGTCTCTGAAAACACAGTCACACAGGATGTCTTAGGCAGATGCAACCACAGCTAATTTCACAAATCTGTGTCCCTGAAAGCCAAGTCGGATGCATCGCTGTCAAAACCTCTGAGCTAAACCACAGCCCGCACACACACCCGTGCTCCTCCGTGGCTGAGGTTCCCACACATGGCACTGCAGGTCCCAGAAGGAAAACACCCAACACACACGCAGCCACCCAAGCTGTGCGTTGGCTCCAACGTACAGAGAGCTTAGAAATGAACCACGCTATTCTGCTCGCCTGCTCATGGTGACAAAGGAGGCTGGTGCCAGAGCCTAACAGCAGATCCCTTCAGGAAACCCCACTGGCCCTGGCCCTGTTCCCAGGCCAGTCTGCTGGCGGGAGAAGGAACAGAGCCCTGCTCAGCTCGTGGCCCTCCTCCCAGCCATGCTGTGGGACGTGTCTCCTTTCGGTCCCCCAGCACACTGATGCTGTCTGTTGCTGCAAGTCCTCTGTCCCCTCCTATCTGTGTTCAGCCGGTATTTAGTCGGAGGACACCCTGGTCCGCGGTGCTGGGCAGATACAGAGCACCAGGGTTGTTGGAGACCTCAGGACCACATGCTGCCTCTCCTGCCCAGAAGGCCTCAGTGGCTAATTACACCTGTCCACCTGTCATATCCAAAAAATACAGCATGTGTTCAAATTTTTTAAAAATTATTACCAGTTGAAGGGAAGGTAGGAGGGTTGGAAAAAAGTTCTATCATGTACGGGTACAAATTCTCTATGATGAATGTGATCGTTATGTATATAAAGAATGTACTAATAAAATCTAATGTTAAAAAATGATTACTGTAAAGGCTGCTCTGCCGTTAGTCGCCCTCAAGATCCTCCCTCTCACTTGCTTCGCACCCGGCCCATTGTTCTTGCCACTTTCTGAAGCAGCTCTGCAAGTCCTCTTTTGTGAGTGTCTTTAGTTACACTGTCCTGGCTGTCTCATTGTCCTGAACTGATCCAAAACAATCACCTGGTGTGGCCATTTTCACCTTGGGGGAGACCAGAAGCCTCACAGTGCAGATCCGCTGACTGTGCACAAGTACCAGCCTGCCTTTCCACTGGACGGCACTCAGTGTGAAGTGGCCCGCTCATCACATTTTTGATCACACCTTGTGAAGATCCTCCTAAAAGAAAACTTCCAGAACTGCTTCAGAAAGGGGCCAGAACTGGCTAAGAGTGCTCAAAGTAAGATGTGTTTTGAGAGACATTTATGACAACATGTCTTTTACTATAATAACTTTTTAAAAGTTTAAACACAGACTGTGTCTTTTTGATCATCCCCTGCATTAGGTCAGCCTCTGTCTGAGGGGCTCAGCTACATGCCACAGCCGCCACCACCACCACCACGGCTGCCTCCTCCTCTTCCTCCTCTTCCTCCTCCTCCTCCCCTTCCTCCTCCTCCTCTTCCTCTTCCTCTTCCTCTTCCTCTTCTTCCTTCTCCCCCTCCCCTTCCCTGCCCTGGCCTCACTCCAACACAGACGCAGCCTAACGGTGCATACTTTCTTTGAACAGTTCTCTAAACCTTCTTCACCTTCTACCCTGGTCCAAAAGGACCTCTGGGCTTGTTGGGTCCCACACTGTCTCCACATTTGAATCCTGGCCTCCTTCCCAACGAGTCCAGCAAGTTCTGTTAGCAAGCATCTCTATAATAACAAACCAAGAACAGCAAAAATAACTCAAGGATAATAAGAAAAAGTTGAAAAAAAAAAAAACTGGGTCAACAGCTGGCTGGTTTCCCCAGCATTTCACCCGGGGACCCAGGCGTGGAATCTGCAAGACAGCAGAAAATGTATCAGGAAAAGCTGGGGGTCACAGCATGTGCCCACTGGGGCGGCTGGTGGCTTAGCCCCAATCACACTGTATCGGAAAACTTCACTATTACAACAGAAACAAAAATGCAAGGAATAAACTTCTTATCACCAGGGTAGGAAAAAAGAAAAAATCCAGATCCAAGCAAAACGGATTTTCAATTCCAGTCTCCAGGGGCTCAGGGCTACCACGCACCTCGCCTGTGCAAAACCCTGTCACAGAGCAAACCACACGCTGGCGGTAAGGCGCAGTGCCACTTATGGACAGGAGGTGGCAGCACCGAGCCAGAGAACCAGCCAAACCAAATTCTTGGCAAAAATCCCAGTGCCACCCACCCCCCCTCCACTTTCCAAAGCAGGAAGTTTGGGGTTTCTACCACTGAAAATGAACACAGGGTAGCATTTCCAAAATTCCTGGGTTTCCAGGCTCCAGACAGCGCCTGAGATATGTGGCCAACCAACTCCCACGATGTTTTCCTTAGCCTCGCTTTCTCAGTTAGCTTTCTTTTACTTTTGACTTTGGTGAGCCTGCCCCACTGGATCTGCGCAAAGCGAGAGACCCTGCCACTTCCGTCCTGCACCCTGCACACAGCTTTCTCCTGAATTCCACTTAAGAACACCTTTTATTATGGTTTGTATTTATAGTACTGCTAAATCTTGGCCCTAGCCTTCTAAGGTCAATTAAGACTCAGGACATATGAGAACTTGTACTGTAACGTCATGTACCTCGGTAGTGTCCCAAATTTTCTGATCAAGAAGATTACGGGGCCAAAGAGGAAAGTGATCGATGACGTAGAGTGTGCCTAAGGAGAGTCACATGGGGAGAAGACACTGTCTCAGGCTTTCACAGAAAGCATATTGGCCAAGCAATGGCCGTGACTCATCCACATGGCTGCACTGATGAAGGTTCTACAATCTGAGGTACAAGATCTCAGGATAAATCCTGAGGGCATTTCACTGACCTTCTCAGACCAAAAAGCTACAACTCTTGTTGCACAGGTCCTGCTTTACCTTGGTCTTAACCATCCAGTAGAAAAGTATGAAGACGAAATATAGGAAGTAAAGCCATGTTGTTATGTTGAGCTGTGGGGGACTCAGGTCAATAATTTCTGACATTGCCAGTTAAACAGAAGACCCAATGCTATTATGGGCTACTGGACTTGTTTAGAATATTTTGCTGAGTTTACACACCTATAATATTCAATAACGGTACTTAAAAAAAAATGGGGTATAACTATGAATGTCCATTTTGTATCTGTGTATTCAAAGTGGTTGGGATAGATATATAGTTGCATTCTCTTAATGAATAGAATGATTTTTTCTAATGGTGTTTGTAAATAGGATCACAAGTCTGCATCTTGTACAGCAATTAACCACTAAGAAGAATATATGCAGTGTATTATTTGTTGAAACTGTGCTTTTGATTTGATTTGAAACTGTCTCATTGCTATATGTTTATCAATAAAACTTTGAAAAGAAAAAGAAAAATTAAATTAAAAAATAAAAAAATAAATAAATAAATAAATAAATAATAAATAAATAAAAAGTACTGCTAAATCTTAATTTTTAAAAGCAGAAGAGAAAAACGGAAGGGAAACTGCCTTTATTAAATGCCTCCCAGACACCAGTTTTCATAGACTGCACCTAATTTACCTCAGAACAACTTGAGATAAAAATAATGGTCTTTGGGGGCTGGGGAGATTGGCTCAGTGAAATAAGTGATTCCCTGGCAAGCGCAAGGGCCTGAGTTCAATCCCCAGGTCCGCCAAAAAATAATAATAGTAATGGTCTTTGATCTGGATGAGGCCCTGAGTTGCAAAGGAATCAGATTACAGAGCCACATGGTTCAGGAACTGGCAGGGGAGGTCTGCGTGAACATCTATGTGAGATCCAAAGTCACAACTTGCCACACACCTAGTGCGACGTCTCTCAAAAATAACTCCGCTCAGTGCAATTTTCCCCCATGTCAGTGAACCTTGAGAGAAAAGAACGGCCCCAGACCAGCCGGTAGGGACCTCTGCTTCCCAGTGAATTTTCCTCCAGTGGAAGACTCCTCCCATTTGCATCTTCGCCTCCTTCCTACAAAATAAAGGTCAGTGCTTTTGTCTGACCTTGTTTACTGGCCCCGTTCACCATTAATCATTTAGTGGTTAGGTCTGCAAAGACCTTTACACACATGCTGTCTGCCAAGAGGCCCAAAGGGATAAGGGAAACCTTAGCCCTGGGACATGCGCCACGGAGGTGGGCAATGCCAGTGCAGACCTGGGCTGGGCAGTGCCACCAAGGGTGCGGGCCACCAAGGGTGCGGGCCACCCCTCCTACACATCCACACAGCCATTCTGCTACCATGGCCATGACCCTCTACGCAGCACAATAAGCAAGAGGCCTCACTGGGACTCACAGCACTGACAAAGGTCACTGGGGGAGGGAAGAAGCGGCACTTGACACTGGCCACTGGAGCCACGTTCTACAGCCACGGTGATCTTGTACCTGGACAGCTTAACACCCGCCTCTAGTCATGCTCGGTCAGTTTCTCTGTGAAAAGCAAATTTATTCCAGCCATCATAGAACGTGCCGTATGGTTCTGCAGCCACCCAGAGAAATCAAAAAGCCTCTATTTCAGGGTAACAACAACAGTATTTCACCATGGAGCCAAATGTTGCTTTACAATTTTACAAGTTCTCAACCTACAGAATTTCTTGCTTGCATGTGAACTCATGCTGAAGACACATCGGTACGGATTCTAGGGTTCTGCATCCCCACCACCACCCCTGTCACCCATCCAAGGGGTGGCCTCCCA